ACATCGAACTGAGTATTCCCCCTCGCTTTATGAAGGAGATGTCCTGTCACTGGGGCGCATGATGTGTGTGTGTGTGTGTGTGTGTGCTCAGCTCCGCTCTGTGTGCGTGTTTGTGTGTATCCGACACCACCGGCATTTGTTTTCAAATTACCACGAACAGCACACGCACACACACACACACAAAACGAGGCCACGCTTTAGTAACTCGTGCGCACGCTTTAGTAACTCGTGCGCACGAGAAAGTAAAACGTGGCCACGTTTTATTTATTTTTCTCTATGAACCCTCCAGGGCTCCGTAGAAACAAGATATGAACCTGAGAATTAGCATAGCAGGGCTGCTTTAAAAACAGTAAAAGGTTGGTGACTCAAGTGAAAAGATATATTTAAATTCCAGATTGTTTTAAATTGAATCCAGCAGTGATGTTAGTCACTGCTGTTATCTGGTGGTCGTCCCCTGAAACAAAGGTCTGTTTCCATCCGATTTTCCAGACTTGTTGGGAACAACTCTGCCTGGAAGGAGACTCTGAATGAAGTACGGCTGACTGAAATAAAGTGAGTGGAGAGAAAGAGAGATGGATCTGACCTCTGAGACTCTTTCTAAACGATATCTGGCTCACATGACTTTCCCCATGAAAGCTTCAAATGAATCCCTGCAGCATTGTAGGGCAATGTACGGGAAAGACGACTCAAAGGCAAAAATTGCAGGGTTAGTAAAAAATCAAACAACTTCCATCAGTTAAATTTAACTATCAGAAGTGGGCGGCTAACATTTTTACCGATTTCCTGTCGTGATTCTTTATTCCACAAACTGCACACTGACCCAACAACAGTGAGTTTAAAGGGAGAGTACCTTCATATATATTATGGAAATCCCATCTTTTCATCCATGTCTTGCGATAGGTAAAATGGTTTTAAAGGTCTAACATTTCTTATTGCATAATTAAAGACCCTGATGTATTTAAAATGTAAATGCATGCATGGATCAACGCATCTATGCCAGGGGTGGGGAATCTTTTTCCTCTCAAGGGCCATTTCAATTTTTTCAACATCCTCCGAGGGCCGTACAAATTATTGACCCCTGCTTAAAAGAACTAAAATCACAGCCCATTCATTTGGCCTTTTTTTCAGGCTGTGCAAAGAAAAGCAACCTCTTAATCCAGATATCTTACCATGCATGCACGTGCACGGTTGTGGCATGACCACCACAACAGAAAGATTTGGACACAAGATGTGTGCAAATGTATTTAGTTTCCCATGTGGACATGATTTAACATGCCAAAAATATAGATTTGTTATGGCCGTTGACAGTAATTTCTGATTTATTAAGTGGTTATTTTGACCTAAGTGATATGTATAAGTTAAATTGTTAACTGATTCAGCTGTGTCTCATTTCTGTCCCCTATTATACTGTTTCTCATCAATATATTACAGGTCTCAGATATATACAAACATGTCTCTGAAGCTCCAAACACCAAACAGATCATTGCAGCATTACCCATAATCCCCTCTGTTTCAGCCCTGTTTCAAAAGTGCTGATTCTCTGTCTGTTACTTTAGATGAAAATAAGGAGCCCCTCCCCACGCCCCTCTGAGAAGAGACATGAAGAAGAGGGGACACATGTTGATGTGGAAGAGACGTGAAGAAGAGGGGACACATGTTGATGTAGAAGAGACGTGAAGAAGAGGGGACACATGTTGATGTAGAAGAGACGTGAAGAAGAGGGGACACATGTTGATGTAGAAGAGACATGAAGAAGAGGGGACACATGTTGATGTAGAAGAGACATGAAGAAGAGGGGACACATGTTGATGTAGAAGAGACGTGAAGAAGAGGGGACACATGTTGATGTGGAAGAGACGTGAAGAAGAGGGGACACATGATGATGTAGAAGAGACGTGAAGAAGAGGGGACACATGTTGATGTAGAAGAGACATGAAGAAGAGGGGACACATGTTGATGTAGAAGAGACATGAAGAAGAGGGGACACATGTTGATGTAGAAGAGACATGAAGAAGAGGGGACACATGTTGATGAAGAAGAGACATGAAGAAGAGGGGACACATGTTGATGTAGAAGAGACGTGAAGAAGAGGGGACACATGTTGATGTAGAAGAGACATGAAGAAGAGGGGACACATGTTGATGTAGAAGAGACGTGAAGAAGAGGGGACACATGTTGATGTGGAAGAGACGTGAAGAAGAGGGGACACATGTTGATGTGGAAGAGACATGAAGAAGAGGGGACACATGTTGATGTAGAAGAGACGTGAAGAAGAGGGGACACATGTTGATGTGGAAGAGACGTGAAGAAGAGGGGACACATGTTGATGTGGAAGAGACGTGAAGAAGAGGGGACACATGATGATGTAGAAGAGACGTGAAGAAGAGGGGACACATGTTGATGTAGAAGAGACGTGAAGAAGAGGGGACACATGTTGATGTAGAAGAGACATGAAGAAGAGGGGACACATGTTGATGTAGAAGAGACATGAAGAAGAGGGGACACATGTTGATGTAGAAGAGACGTGAAGAAGAGGGGACACATGTTGATGTAGAAGAGACGTGAAGAAGAGCGGACACATGTTGATGTAGAAGAGACGTGAAGAAGAGGGGACACATGTTGATGTAGAAGAGACGTGAAGAAGAGGGGACACATGTTGATGTAGAAGAGACGTGAAGAAGAGGGGACACATGTTGATGTAGAAGAGACATGAAGAAGAGGGGACACATGTTGATGTAGAAGAGACGTGAAGAAGAGGGGACACATGTTGATGTAGAAGAGACGTGAAGAAGAGGGGACACATGTTGATGTAGAAGAGACATGAAGAAGAGGGGACACATGTTGATGTAGAAGAGACGTGAAGAAGAGGGGACACATGTTGATGTAGAAGAGACGTGAAGAAGAGGGGACACATGTTGATGTGGAAGAGACGTGAAGAAGAGGGGACACATGTTGATGTAGAAGAGACGTGAAGAAGAGGGGACACATGTTGATGTGGAAGAGACGTGAAGAAGAGGGGACACATGTTGATGTAGAAGAGACGTGAAGAAGAGGGGACACATGTTGATGTAGAAGAGACATGAAGAAGAGGGAACACATGTTGATGTAGAAGAGACATGAAGAAGAGGGGACACATGTTGATGTGGAAGAGACGTGAAGAAGAGGGGACACATGTTGATGTAGAAGAGACATGAAGAAGAGGGAACACATGTTGATGTAGAAGAGACGTGAAGAAGAGGGGACACATGTTGATGTGGAAGAGACGTGAAGAAGAGGGGACACATGTTGATGTAGAAGAGACGTGAAGAAGAGGGGACACATGTTGATGTGGAAGAGACATGAAGAAGAGGGGACACATGTTGATGTAGAAGAGACGTGAAGAAGAGGGGACACATGTTGATGTGGAAGAGACATGAAGAAGAGGGGACACATGTTGATGTAGAAGAGACATGAAGAAGAGGGGACACATGTTGATGTAGAAGAGACGTGAAGAAGAGGGGACACATGTTGATGTGGAAGAGACGTGAAGAAGAGGGGACACATGTTGATGTAGAAGAGACGTGAAGAAGAGGGGACACATGTTGATGTAGAAGAGACGTGAAGAAGAGGGGACACATGTTGATGTGGAAGAGACGTGAAGAAGAGGGGACACATGTTGATGTAGAAGAGACGTGAAGAAGAGGGGACACATGTTGATGTAGAAGAGACATGAAGAAGAGGGGACACATGTTGATGTAGAAGAGACAGGAAGAAGTGGGGACACATGTTGATGTAGAAGAGACGTGAAGAAGAGGGGACACATGTTGATGTAGAAGAGACATGAAGAAGAGGGGACACATGTTGATGTAGAAGAGACATGAAGAAGAGGGGACACATGTTGATGTAGAAGAGACATGAAGAAGAGGGGACACATGTTGATGTAGAAGAGACATGAAGAAGAGGGGACACATGTTGATGTAGAAGAGACATGAAGAAGAGGGGACACATGTTGATGTAGAAGAGACAGGAAGAAGTGGGGACACATGTTGATGTAGAAGAGACATGAAGAAGAGAGGACATATGTTGATGTAGAAGAGACATGAAGAAGTGGGGACACATGTTGATGTAGAAGAGACAGGAAGAAGTGGGGACACATGTTGATGTAGAAGAGACAGGAAGAAGTGGGGACACATGTTGATGTGGAAGAGACATGAAGAAGAGGGGACACATGTTGATGTAGAAGAGACAGGAAGAAGTGGGGACACATGTTGATGTAGAAGAGACATGAAGAAGAGGGGACACATGTTGATGTAGAAGAGACATGAAGAAGAGGGGACACATGTTGATGTAGAAGAGACATGAAGAAGAGGGGACACATGTTGATGTAGAAGAGACAGGAAGAAGTGGGGACACATGTTGATGTAGAAGAGACATGAAGAAGAGGGGACACATGTTGATGTAGAAGAGACATGAAGAAGTGGGGACACATGTTGATGTAGAAGAGACAGGAAGAAGTGGGGACACATGTTGATGTGGAAGAGACATGAAGAAGAGGGGACACATGTTGATGTAGAAGAGACATGAAGAAGAGGGGACACATGTTGATGTAGAAGAGACAGGAAGAAGTGGGGACACATGTTGATGTAGAAGAGACAGGAAGAAGTGGGGACACATGTTGATGTAGAAGAGACATGAAGAAGAGGGGACACATGTTGATGTAGAAGAGACATGAAGAAGTGGGGACACATGTTGATGTAGAAGAGACAGGAAGAAGTGGGGACACATGTTGATGTGGAAGAGACATGAAGAAGAGGGGACACATGTTGATGTAGAAGAGACATGAAGAAGAGGGGACACATGTTGATGTAGAAGAGACATGGAGAAGTGGATTTTGCATAATAGGTAACCTTTAAGTCTTTTGAGCACATTATCACACGTTGAAATGTGTTCAAGTGTAAGTGTGTGTGTAATGTGTATGTGTGTGTGTGTGTATGTGTGTGTGTGTGTGATCCCTCTCATACCCTGTCCGAAGCGTCCTGTCTTATGGACCTCTGCAGCTCCTCGGTATCCCAGCATCCGGCACACCACGTCTCCGTCCTTCTGGTCCCAGACGTCGTCACAGATCGTCCCCCAGCGACGCTCGTGGAAAACCTCCACGCGACCTTCATGAAGACCCGACCCGTTCACCAGCCGCACCAGCGTCTCCTCCACTGCAACACACACCATCCCACGTTAACATAATGATGAGTGTGTGTGTGTGTGTTAATGGGGAGGAATTTATACACATTTGTATTGCATTGGCCGACTGTTTTTAAGGCATTTATTGGAGTCTACGTGCAATGAAATGTTTGAAGATCACGTTCCTTAGTTTGCAGAAAAAACGAGTCTTTGTTATTTATTCCAACACGACTGCAGTGAAAGAAAACATGACTCTTTTATCCCTCGCTTGTTGGCATGACTTAACACTCACACTGAGCAGATTATTTTCATGGTGAGTGTTTATGAGTTTAATGAAGGCCCATAAATCAAACCAATTTGAAAACAAAAGAAGATGAATAGGTTATTTTCAACATGAGTCAAGACATTTGTTTTTACAAAAACCACAGAAAAAGGCTTCGAGTCAAAAAGAAAAAGAAAAAACATTATTTTTGAGAGAGGGAACCTTTTAGTGAACACACTAAAGAATGCAGGGTTGAAGTCCTGTCCAAAAGTCACTTTTCAGTGTTTGCTGAACATGATGACCGATAGTCTGGCAATAATCCCGTGTATTTGACAGCGTAGCGGTTGAAGGATTTTGAAATTCATAACTTCCTTCTTTAAAACTTCATGCATCTGGTAGCATTTATCCAGTGACCTTATTGGACAAAACCCAGTTAAGTCACTGGTCCCTGAAATGAAACACAACTTGTTTTTTTTCCCACTTTTCCTGCATTTCAACATTTCAATACATAACTTTTTTTTTGTTATAAACCTGGGAGGTACTTTACAGTCTTTAAAATAAGAATATCTTTATTGTCATCATGTTTAGGCACATCATACAAGCACAGCAATGAGAAGGCACTGTTAGATTAAATTAAATGTACTTAATAAAGGGAATACCATTGAATAGAAAAAAGTAACCGTAAAGAGGAAGGTGGTGAGATGACCTTTATCGACTCAGATTTCTCTCTGAAGCATGGAGAACTCTCATTTACAAGAAAAGGTGGAATTCATATTGTTTGTCATACACGGTTTGATAGTGCCTGATTTTAACTCAGTACATAAATTGGGGTATACAATGTAAGACCTTAAAACCATTAAAATACAACAAGTGTTTAGTTTGAGCATGTTGGCTCGATTCAGGGTTTTAGTGCCACACCAAAGAACTTGTAAACAAGAACGTACTGTACCTACACTACAGTCACAATAAAGAGTGCAAGTGTGTGTGTGTGTGTGTGTGTGTTTATATTAGCAGAGGCTTCATGGATCATTATCTCGTATCCCTGAAACTATGCAGCAGCTGCTCGTATAATTTACTTGATTTAATACCTTTCAGAGTGCATAAAGAAAAACAGAAACACACACACACACACACACACACACACACACACACACACACACACACACACACACACACACACACACACACACACACACACACACACACACACACACACACACACACACACACACACACACACACACACACACACACACACACACACACACACACACACACACACACACACACACACACACACACACACACACACACACACACACACACACACACACACACACACACACACACACACACACACACACCTTCAGGGGACATTACATTGACTTACATGCATTTCCTGGAGACTTATCCTAACCTTAACCAACACATGCCTAATCCTAACCAAGTCTTCACCCTAAAATTAATGATTCCCCTTATGGGGACCTCCAATTTGTCCCCATAAGGGAAGCCAGTCCCCACACGTGACTATGTAAACAGATTTAGGTCCCCACAAGTATAGTAAGGCGAGAACACACACACACACACACACACACACACACACACACACACACACACACACACACACACACACACACACACACACACACACACACACACACACACCACACACACACACACACACACACACACACCACACACACACACACACACACACACACACACACACACACACACACACACACACACACACACACCACACACACACACACACACACACACACACACACACACACACACACACACACACACACACACACACACACACACACACACACACACACACACACACACACACACACACACACACACAGGAGAGTGAAGCCAGACACATTATGTAGACAGGATATTGGTCTCATCAGACCGTCATACATTTTAAGTGTGTCCTATGTTACTCTCATTAGAAAGTCATGCACTTTGCGCTCACTGGCTCTTCATAATGTAATAACCACAATAATATTATACCATCATATCTGCTGCACATGTATCGTGTTCCTGCAGACGAGCAGAACATCCAAACCAGACATCAGAACCTCCTGTTGCTCCATTTCCTAGACAATACTAAAGGTAAGGAGAGCAACAAGTGCTGAAAGTAGCACATAGGTCTTCAGAAAGGAATGAGGAATTGAATACTCAATTACCTGAAACAGATGTTACATTATTTGTTATACAAAACACTCCTTCCTTTCAAATTCCTATGAAGTTGGGTAAAACCTGGAAGACTCTGCTGGCATGAGGATGAAGAGGTGTCGGTCATTAATACTTATTTCATCTATTTTTCTTACTGAAATGTGAAACTTTGCTTTTACATATCCTTCTTGTGCCATCAGAGAGAAATCTGCTCCAACAGCAGCAGAAAATAACTATTTTCCGTACTTGTTGCATAGTTCGCAATTATGATTGGTGTTGAAATAATATGTACTGTACACCTTAATGTTGCATTTAGAGAAAATTCAGCTGTTTTTTATATTTACATATGCAGTATCGACTGGTAGAAGGTGAATTTAAGTCTTTCACTAAAGTTGTAAACACAATATTTCCCTTTGAGATGTGATGTAGTGAAATAGAAAGTGTTAGAAAACAGATTGACTTGAAGCACAATTTTGAGATAACGCTAATTAACTGTACCTTAATTTTGCATTTGGAGAAAGTTCAGCTATTGTTTTAGTACATATTAGACATAAGAGTCTTTCACTAAAGTTGTTGAATACATTTCGTGGAGTAAAAAATACAACATTTCCCCTGAGATGTAGAAAGTGGTAGATAATAGATTTACTTTTTGAGATAACGGTAATTGACTGTACTTAAGTAAATGCACCATTTACATTTCCACTGATGTTTCTGTAAGTGAAAAGTTATCTAACAATGTTATCAAACAAACCTATCATCCATTTTATCACATGTTTGGCCATATGTTTCACATCTCTGTAGTCTTAGTTAGCACATGTTTGAAACCCCTGGAGACAAGAATCACCACTTTTTTCACGTCTCTCTCACTCCATTCATCTTTCACTCTCTGTGAAGTGCCTAAGGCTCCCCACTGTACAAATGAGAGACTCTAGGGAGAAGAGGAAGAGGATGGAGGCAGCACATGTAGTCTTTAGAGATAATGAAAACCATACAAGCAAACTTCACAGGACATTCATATCTCTGCAGAGAAGAGCTGGACTGCAACCTATTGGAGATGTGCTCAATTATGTCAACCCGGCGGTGGGGAGCTTGATTTATTTTGACAGAAACTCTGGTGTAAGCCTGGATGATGCATGACAAAGATATGTTGTAGCTGAAATGTTTTAAGATAAATTCAAGAGCACACGTGTGAGGAATAGTTGTCCAGCTTACCACCTACAGAAGTAACACTCCCACCATTTTATAAGAGTATCTTTTTAGATGTTTTTTCCACCTGGACTGACAATGCAATATAGCCTTAGCCTGTTAGCGTAATGCTACATAGCCTATGTAGCCATCAAGACTCGTTTAATGTAACTTGAGGTTAGGGTGAAGCCAAGTCCATTAAAGAAATCATAACATTATGGAGCAGATCCCGTTACCAGGCAGACACAGGCATTATGTTTCAGTTATATGAACCTTACAAGATAAGACTTTTCGTTTTCATTTCATATCTTTGCTTTTAAATGCCATTATATAATTCTTAATGCTCTTAATGTATTGAATGAATGAATGAATGACTTGCCTTGTTGAAAGGTGTTATATAAATAAACTTAAATACAATACAAACTATAATGTTAGACAGGTAAATGTGCCTCGTTTAACTAAATATGTGTTATGCCGGAGCAAAAGCTTAACAGGTGATGAAAACATTATCTGGTTTCATTCACCTTCTATCAAAACATAAGAATATAAATGTAGCTGTTAAACCCGTGGTAAAAAACAGTAAAAGGCTGAATTCAATCAATTACTTGGAACTCAAGTCTATGTACTTATTAAGTATAGTTTGGTACGGTAGTCTGTGTGGGGGAAACCTCTGAAGCAATTGGAGACAGGACTCAGAGACACGATGGAGAGCTGGAGCTTTGATGTCAAACACTGACGGTTTATTTGGAGCATGGGCCGGAGAATTCACAAGACATGTCACGAGCCACGATCTGACCACACGGATGAGATGCCACAATCAATTCTGAAGCACCTTTCTCTCGTAGGACCTTTTAACTAGTTTGCTTTGAGGGTAATCAACATTCTTCACTAGATAGACTACAGCTGGGGACACTGAATCACAGTTGTTGTCGCTTATGGCTTGAGGTCATCTACACCCCGAGAAGGATGTGTTCCAGGTGTCCCACAACGATAACTATCTCTGACCGACAGTTACCGACAGGTCACAAACTGGTAGCAACAACAACTTGCTAGGGCAGCCCCTCCTTAAGGGAGATAACGGCTGCTCAAGGTTGGTCATCTGCGTCAGAGGGCATCTATGGAAATTATTCCCTGACAGTCTGTAGTGACCTAGTCATCGGTTCTATTCCCCATCAGACAAAAGGTCCTGGTTGTGCATGTGTGTTTTTTGGGCCTATAGATGTGATGTAACGTAAATAACACCAGATTGAATAATATGTCATAATCCGGACTTTTTACAGCTGGTGCAAAACAATGCATGAGTTAGAAAAGTTGACAACCAAACCAAATTCTTCTGTGAGTAATAATGCAGACGCTGAAAGATCCTGTCTTACTTATCTGTATATATATATTTTTTAAGCTCATGTTCACCTTGGAACACCAGAGCATTTCACCATAAACTCACTAATTTGGACCACACTTGACATTTCATAACAAGCCTTCCTGTGCTTCGGATATAATGATGACTGTTATCGTCCAGGGGGAACCGGACGAGCGAGATCCAATAATTGTTGGTGGTCGTCCAGGAGGTTTTAGTCTGGGGATGTGAGGGGGGGGGGGGGTATGTGAGGGGGGGGTTTACAGACTGTGGATACCTGAAGACGGCCAGAACACGGAGCGTCCCGTGTTTCTAATGTGTATCTGGCAGGAACGCTCTGGACTGGACACTTTGGCTGCGGGACAAAATGTAACCAGCTCCATGTGTTCAGAAAATGTCCTCCTCCAATCTCAGATGCTTTTGTCCTTCACATTGTTTCCTCGTTATGTCTCTTTTATTACATTTGATGTTTTCTACTTTCTGTTTAGTGCAATTTGTTTGCTTCTAATTTGAATTTCTCGGCTATGCACATTCATCATTTGGCGTACAATGCGAGCTCAGTTTGAAGTCAGTTTGTGTGACTTTCATGTGGTCTTTTTTTTACATTTTGATGCAATAGTTCAATAATTATGGAAATGTCCTAAATTTGCCAAATTAAATGTTTATAAATAGTAAATTGAAAAGTGTTGCGAGTCTGTTTTCTTGTAGGTCTTCCGCTGTGATACTTGTGAAATGTTCAATCCAATTTTCTTTCTCTAGATGCTCTAAAATGCAGTGTTTTTTTTACTATTTTATTCCGCTATACAGTATTTCATTTTAGATTATTTTAATGACGTGTTCTTCTAATTGACATGTATATTGTTCACTCATATCTGCATTTACTTGTGTGACCATTGTCTTGCACTATTTTATCTATTTTTCTTCTTGCACTATATCAGCTTGTTTTTATGTCTTGTATGTTGCATTGTTGGAGGATTTAACTACGCTGAGCTATTGTGTATTTGACGATTACGCTTTTAAAGATGCCCTATTATATCTTATGAAGCTCAGCGTAAGTTCAACCAGGAAGACCGTCTTTACTCTTCATTCACTATTCCCATGTAACTACTCTCTCTCCTCTCAATAAGTGATCGGGGGCGTCACTCCCCAGCTTAACCAATCACTTTGCTCTATTCCCAAGAGCCTATCATAGCACTCTGCCAAACCTTTTAAATCTGCTCTCTCCCCTCTGACAGCTGTCATTTCAGGTGACTCGACGCAACCCCCCTCCACCGCTTTTCATCTCCCGTCCCTCTGAATCCAGGGTCAAGCTAAGCCCCTCCCCTTCAGACCGACCCAACTATCCATTCACCACCACCAGGGTCTAGACCCCGGGGGGGTTTCATCGGATGGGTTCTCCCCTCCCGAATGATACTCCTGCACAACGGGGCCTAATCGCCAAAATCACCATTACATACATTTGTGTATCTCTGCCATAAATATGTATTCTTACATCAAAACCGTCTCTCCTGATTGGAATGGGGTTACCCTTTCCTGTAGTGTGTTCTGTAGGTTTGTGTGCATGTAAATGGTCTGCAAAGGCTAAAATCCTTTGCAGACCATTCTTCTTCCCTTTCTTGCTGAGAACAAAGATTGATAGCACTGCAATATCTGTTTGGTAAATACAGTTTATCTAAGCATGAATACTGAGAGCAGGGGGAAACAGCTCAATCCAACAACATCTTCATAATAATACCGCTAAAGAAAAGTGAATAAAATCATAAAAAGGATCAAACTGTGTCTGACTCGGCAGAATACAATTAAAAGAGAAAAGACAGATTCACCTCAATGTTTTATACTGTTCTCAGCACGAGTATTTCTGCATGTGTCTTTGTTTAACTGTGTTTGCGTGAAATTAGAAATGAATAAAATGTGATTAAACTACACTGTGGGAGACCTGGGTTGTTCTGTTCCAGCTAAAGGATAATTGAATCCAGCAAATCAAAAAGGAACATAAGTAATGAAAACAGCATGTCTGGAGTATTTCAACACACGTGAGAGCTGAAGACTACAAAGTAAATGTATATTGATTCTGTTACTCGGTATTTACATTGGGAAGCAGCACCAAGTAGAGCGTTGAGCTGAGCTTTACATGAACATAATAACAAGATGTTTTTCACGAGTCAAAGCTGAAAACATTTATATATTAGTATCCCTGTAGCTGCAAAGGTTGACTATAAAAACAACCTGTCAAACGTCAGACCCACAACAAAGTGGATCACCCCTCCTGTTGTCTTCGGGTCAAATCTAACCGATTTACTACTTTCATCAATCATAACTTTTTTGTTTTACATTTGATTGCATTAAGGCTTTATGATATCCTTCACAGTAGACCTTTGAACATATAACATTGCTGATCAGCACTTTCATTGAATTTTGGAGGATTTAGTCAACTTTGTAAAACCCATGGTGTTCCCGGTGACCGCCATAAAGAAAAGGAATTAGTAACCATCCGGATCAGATAAAACACACACACACACACACACACACACACACACACACACACACACACACACACACACACACACACACACACACACACAACACACACACACACACACACACACACACACACACACACACACACACACACACACACACACACACACACACACACACACACACACACACACACACACACACACACACCACACACACACACACCACACACACACACACACACACACACACACACACACACACACACACACACACACACACACACACACACACACACACTACATCACTTCAGGGGACATTACATTGACTTACATGCATTTCCTGGAGACTTATCCTAACCTTAACCATAACCAACACATGCCTAACCCTAACCCTAAACCTAACCAAGTCTTCACCCTAAAATTAATGATTCCCCTGATTTGTCCCCATAAGGGAGGCGAGTCCCCACACGTGACTGTGTAAACAGATTTAGGTCCCCACAAGTATAGTAATGCTAGGCCACACACACACACACACGCACGCGCACACACACACACAGAACAATTCGACACATTTCCCGCTCTTATGTGCCCATCCCCCCACATGGATCACACCTGGCACACGTAATACATGTTCAGTGTCTATTCTTTGTATATTTACTGCAGTTTTTCATGTGTACCAGTAGTCTGATACAATATTTACAGTTTGAAAGGGTGTTAAATGACATTTGGTGATGATTAATGGTTTTTGTGTAAATGTAATAGCAGTTAAAACAGGACCGGTCAAATTTGACCGTGAACACCAAAGTAAGGGGGGGGGAACTAAGATAATAGGAGGGTTAAAAAGTGTGTGTGTGTGTGTGTTCCAATCTCTTTTGTAATATGTCAACTGTCAAGTGAAAATTACACAAAATGGCCTAAAAAATGAAAAATTGGGCGTTTAGTTACAAGAGACGCTAGGAGAAATGTCTTTGGGGAATTGTAATCGGCAAATTGCTGGACTTTAGCCTCGGCTAATGATAGACACATTTCATGTCTTCAGCCTTAAAATCTACGCGGTCCAGTAGAGTTTACGATATTCTCAAACGTCTCTGTCCAAATCAGTGAAGGGGTCACAGCATTATTAACGTCTAAAGGATGTTATTTTGCTCTCACTTAAGGCACAATATGTAGCATGTTGACTATCTTCAACCGGGTGCTGTTACCTTTCAACAAAACAGCATTAAATCATGTTTTAAAGGGAAAATATAGGACTATACAGTATATAGTACTGGTACTACATTTAAAGATATATAGAGACAAACTTTTAGGCCACCTGCGAAACATATATACACACATCTTTATATTAATAGAAAGATATCAATCTATAGAGTACACAATAAAAACATGCACAATATAACATTTACAGAATAAAGCAGAATGCACTATGATAGCCTTAACTACTATTAAATAAACTATAAACATGGTGTGTGCAAAGTAGTTTTTTTTAATCAAAATGTAAATGCAATGAGGTGCATTGTGATATGTGTGATTCAATATGTACAAATTGTGGGTTTTCAGAGTAAAACAAGTGTGAAGCTTTGATATTTCTGCTGGCCAGAGATCAGGTGTTGTACAGGGTTCAAGCTGTTGGTGACTTAAGAGACTTCATTATCATTTAAAAGAACATCAATCCAGGTAGAAGAAAACTATTCCCTCTGCTTCTATCAATCTCATAAATCACTTCAATCTGTGGTCCATTTGCGCTCTTTTTTTAACACTGAAATACCGTTTTTGGTGCTGTCAAAGTGTTCAGAAGAGCTTAAGAAGTTGATCCCTTCAGTTACATAACGTTCCGTATGACAGGTTCATCTCGTGCTAACACCCAACATGTGTGCACAGATTGTTTTTACCCACAACACAAAGCTTCCGCGGTCTTCAGGTCACTCGTTCCGCTAAGTGATTATTTAGGTATGCATTGAAGGCTTTGAAGCGTAACACGATCCGAGTCATGCATCAAAAGAGAAATCAGCCACACGAGGGTTGTGACAAGAAAAGTGCACGACGCTGCGGAGATTAGATATTCCTGGCAGCCGGCAGCATGTGGTCCCAGTTTTTCTTTCTCTGATCTTCGACGGTTCTTTAACGGGCAGGAACACCATCAGGATGGTCGAGGGTTCAAAGTCTACTTGATGTGAACTTTATTCCATCGCTCATCACTTGGAGAACCAGCAAACTTACAAAGGAAGAAAAACAGTTGTGGCAACAAAATAATAATTGCGGTTTTGGGGGGGGGGGGGTTTCTACCTGAACCCAGTTCTTGGTGGTTTTGTACGAGGGTTCAGTTACCACCACAGGACATATTTATATAAATAATGGTTTTCAAGTTCTTTTGATGCCATGTGGTTCTTCATTATGTGTTGGAAACCGCGAGATTACGCAAAAGGAAAGCAGATAATTTGAACTTCCTTTAAACAGCTCTTTGTAAAACATATCAGGTGTAATAAATGTTTGAGTCATCAGCTCATAATACTGATGTATCTGCTTTTATTACAGCCCTGTTTCTCTACTATGACCGTGTGCCGTCAACAGGAGATTATTTTAATTATAATCGACCGTTTTATTGTAGTTTTTTTTATATTTGCAGTAAAATAAAACATATCTAAGTTTAACCATACAATATGCAATTTTCTGCTTCTAGTTATCTCTTCATCAAAACAATAACCAAGACCCACTATGGTGGTTTCATGAAGTATAGTGCAATTATCAAATATCCATGTAATGACCACAGGAGGTCGTTAACAGACTGGAAAGTGGAGCAAAAAACCTCAAAATTGTTGTACATTTGTTACCCATAATTCAGAGGAGTTTATCAACGCGGCCAGTGCGAAATCATAAACCTTTTTACTGTTGTTCATATTACATGTTTTAATGGAAAACATTGATGGTGGGTGTAAAGAAATTGCATTGTGAACTTACTACCAGACTAATTAGTGGTCCATTCTTAATGTAACATCATTTTTTCCAACTTGGTTTCCCTAAGGAAGTCTATAAAACATTTCAGTTCTGAATCCTTAAGCAGACCATGTTCAATTTACTGTTTAAAGACAGGATTACCTGACTCAGTTCTGGTCTGTTAGTGTGCCCGTCATCCTACGAGCTTGAAGCAAAACACTAGTAAAGTAACTGAAGCAAAAGAAAAAGCAATGCACTAAAGAAAAACACACGAATAAGCTGTTTTACAGGCAATAAAAAGCTGTTAAACATATATTTAAGTTCTTACCCGTTTTATCTCCTCGGTCTCCTCGATCCCCTTTCTCCCCCCTGAACCCTCTCTCTCCTCTGTCGCCTGAAGACAAAACAGAAAAACACATTCTGACTTTAGAGGAGCAGAAACACATTCTTCACCCTTTCCTGTAGTGTGTTTTTCTGCATGTCAATGGTCTGCAGAGGCTACAATCCCAAAGACCCATCACAACAGGCTCCTCACAAAGTCATTAGACTTCTGCTTGCAAATGTTATTGAGTCATTATATTACATTACATTTAGCTGACGCTTTTATCCAACGCGACTTACAATAAGTGCGTTCGACCTAGAAGATACAAACTAGAAGAAAACAGAATCATAAAGTACATCAGGTTTCATAGAGCCAAACATTTCAAGTGCTACTCAACTGGCTTTAGATAAGCCAGTCCTTTATTAGTATAAAGTGCTTTGTTAATAATTCTATCACTCAAAGTGGAGTCGAAAGAGATGAGTTTTCAGTCTGCGCCGGAAGGTGTGTAAGCTATCTGCCGTCCTGATGTCAATGGGGAGCTCATTCCACCATCCTGGAGCCAGGATAGCAAACCCACGTGTTTTTGCTGATGGGAACTTGGGTCCCCCTCGCAGTGCGGGTGCAGCGAGCCGTTTGGCTGATGCAGAGCGGAGTGCACGTGCTGGGGTGTACGGTTTAACCATGTCCTGGATGTAGGAAGGGCCAGATCCATTCGCAGCATGGTACGCAGGTACCAGTGTCTTGAAGTGGATTCTAGCAGTTACCGGAAGCCAGTGAAGGGGGCGGAGTCATGTTTAAATTGTACGTATACCACCTTGTTTTTTTATATTTAGTAGTTGCTTTTTCTTTATTTAGCTCCTATCTAATATTTGTTGTTATTTGGCGTATCCAGAGCCAATATTAAATTAAATCTGTGTTTCTGATTTTCTATCTTCCTTATTGGTTTTCGAATAAGTGCGTTTATGTTTTATCTACTGTGTCCGACTGAATCAAACATAATCAAATAACCACTCTTAAGAACAAACTCGTAATACATTAGTGGAATAATGATGTAAAACACTATTTAGAGAAAGCCTTTCCAACACCACTTGGCTTTACTGCATGGCTTTAGTAATTACTGTAATAATATCCATTTGTAATGACAGAGTAACAATAGTGGACCTTTTCATCCGCTGAATGCCACACTCACAAAACACAGGGGGGCAAAACAATCTGAAATAACACAGAGCAGCAGCTCGAATATGTTAAGGCTTGGATTTCAAGCGCTTTCCTCTCACACCCACTTCCTCTTCTTTGTATATTTTCTTTGCACAAGCCTCTAAAGAAGTCCACCCTGTAATCTTGCCATGTGATATGGGCATAACATGTGAACAATTAGAGGACACCCAGCCTGTGTCCGGATCTTAATATACCTCCGAAAGTCCGGGTTAAATGTTGTGTTTGTGTGAGGGCAATAGAAAGGAAGCAGTAAGAGAGAACACTGAATAATTTAATAAAGATTATTTGAAGGAAGCAGTGAAGAGGAATTTGTTTTTGGAAGATCTACAGTGTGGATGTTAAAAAAACAAAATGGGAGTAAAAAAATCCCCTCATTTGTGGTTTCTGCAAAATGTACGTTCATGCACGACACCTCCCTTCAAACAGCAGCTTGGATACAACACTTTGTTTTCATTTCAAAATAGGATATTTTCCAAAGTATGGGAATAACATCCGCAGCAGAAGACTGTTCCAGCACCATTTGTTGCTTATTTCCAGCCAATGGGGGTTGAAACCACAAGTCTGTTTTTGCCATGAAGCTATAAGAGGATCAGCTTTAAGTCGGCATTCATCCCACCTTTAATTTGACTATTTTTTGTTCACGTTCAAGACCACAGAGGCAGCTGCCAGTGGAGGTGGCACTCGATGTGTTACTGTGTGTTCCTGCTGAGTATCTCACACCACACCCAGCTGTCAGTGTCACATCTTGACCACATCCTTAACAACTTAATAATACTGCAAGAAACACGTTGGAGAGCTGCTGCGGAGCCACAGGACACAGCAGTGACATCTAATGCTGAATGCATACTGTTTTAACTGCCTTAGCATCTGCTAGGATGGTACTTAGTTTGTTTGGACTGAAATATTGGATGCATGGAGAGCTTTCAAAGTCAAATGCTTGTGGGCTGTGGCAGAGAAGTCGTGCACCAATTGGAGGGTCTGTTGTTCTATCCCAGCCCTTGCAGTCAACACATGGAAGTGGTGATGGATGTGTGTGAATGTTTATTTCTCTAGTGTCTCAACATTGTCGAATAAATGCAAAAACATGCCCCAAAAAACAGTATTTTCACAAACAAACTGGTATTGTCATAGTTTCCAGAGAAGACAAAAACATTCCCTAACTTGTTGGTCCCTATTGTTCACAATGATGTTCCCTAAACGTCTCATATGCATGCTACTGCAGGAACGCCCCGTCTCGTTCCTGATCCCCAGACGCTCAATTTACTGTTTTGTCCCCGTGGCTGCAAGGATTTGTATTGCACATTTTCATTAGTCCTTAAGTTTATATATATATATATGTATTTATGTATTTATTTGACTATAATTTGGTATAACTGTCATGAAACCTAATTTCCGATAAATAAAGTATTTTGATAGATTGATTGATACTACAATATATGTTCAGCAACTCCAAATATCAGTATGGTTTCATAGTCAACAACATGAAACCACAGGTCATTTATTAATCAGATAACTCATGAGATCACTGTCAGAGAGCTTTGATTTGAATTCCTCATGTTACTCAAAACAAACAACGCTTGTTCAGAAACAACAACTTGTCTAACGAGCTGCATCAATATTGCCAGTAAGTGGAGCAAGCTACTTACTTCTTGTCAGGGAATAATTGGCCCTGCATGTCCTCCTTTGCCCTCTGAGGCAGATGCCCAACCTCGAGCAGCCGTTATCTCCCTTAAGGAGGGGCTGCCCTAGCATTTAGTTGATGTTACCAGTTTGTGACCGGGCAACTCTCGGTCAGAGATAGTTATTGTTGCGGGACACCTGGAACACATCCTTCTCGGGGTGTAGATGACCCCGAGCCATAAGCGACAACAACTGTGATTCAGTGTCCTCAGCTGTTTAGTCTATCTAGTGAAGAATGTTGATTATTCCACTCTGAACTCGTTAAAACCTGGAGCTACAGGAGGGCTCTTCAGAATTGATTGTGGCATCTCAACCGTGTGGTCAACTCGTGGCTCGTGACATGTCTTGTGAATTCTCCGGCCCAAGCTCCAAATAAACCGTCAGTGTTTGCCATCAAAGCTCCAGCTCTCCTCGTGTCTCTCTGAGTCCTGACTCCAATTGCTTCAGAACTTTCCCCCACACTTCCGTAATGTGCAAATTTCTGTTACAAACATAAATACATCCTCCGTGGTGTTTAAAAAAAGCATGATAGTTGGTCAAATATTAGCCTCCTGTATCCTGAGCTCCACTTCCTATGATGGCCCAGGCTGTCAGTCAGTAAGTTTGTGTAGTTTTTCTTCTATGTAGCGAGGGAAATGCAGTGGTTTTACATCATGAAATGCCAGATTATATATCTTCGTAATCATGGCTTGTTCGACTCAGCTGATCTGTGGAGCTTTACAACCAGAAAGAGAAGCACGTAAACACCTCATTCCCTCCCTGCTCAGTCTACTAACTCTGGATCTGTCTTTCTATCCATGAAAAGAAACCATGAAGCTCCTCAGTGCTGTTTTAACAAGCCTTCAGTCTCCCCGGGTGAGGCCCCGCTCACAGCAGAGAGAACAAACTCTTCACCCTCCGCTGGTTTGTTAAACCCACACAGACTCCAGATGGGTGGAGGCACAGACTGACATTGTTGTAAACTGCCAGAGTGTAGATGGCCAAACATCCGCAGAAAACCTTGTTTTTCTTCATCTAGTCTCCATTTATCCTGGAAAACACTCATTTGAAACTCTTTACATAATTAACTTGTCAGTCTAACCATGTTTAAAGCACCACATTCGTTCATTTTGTGGGGGACACTCTTCTCATGTGTGTTCATCCAAGGTAGCTATTGTTGCCCGATTACATTTTCCTTGTTCTTCTTCTGTTTACTCCTCAGTAGAGTGTGTGTATTTAGGCTCTGTTTCCCTGTCTGTTGAGAGGCTGGTAGGGTGTGTGAGATCCTTGTGGCTGCAGGATGTGTGCAAGGAGAACAGCAGGATTGAGGCTGTGAACTTTGTGCACATGATTTTAATAAATGCCCACGTCGGGTTATATTTTTGGACATTCTGCCTCTGCCTCCTTGCTTGGTCTGGGCCGCTCAACGGTCAGTCTCACAATTGGTTAAACCAAATTACAACGTACAAGCTTCACAAGCTGGGTTTTAACCCTAACCCTAACCCATATGATTCACTGAACAAAATAAACATTGACACTGGCATCTGTGTGTATGCAGCACATAGCATCCTTTGTTTTAGTACAGTTTCACACAATTAATTTACTCGATTACTGTACCTATGTATCCTTTTGAGGTACTTGTACTATAGTCTTTCCATTTTATGCTACTTTATGCTTCTTTACCACTACAGGCTATATTTCGGAGGCATTTACATTTATTTGAAGCGGTAGATAGTAACTTTGCAGATTTAGATTATGAATAGAAAGTACAAATTAACCAATAAGTTATGGTGCAACGTTGAAGGTGGGGTATGTAAGTTTGAGAAACCGGCTCGAGATACACTACATTTACAAATGTGACTTAGAATAAGTGCAACAAACCATGAAGCGAGATACTCAAAAAAGCAAGTGCATTTTTTTTTTTACCATGGATCTGAACATATATTATTTTATTAGCATGTGCTTGCCTCTTAACTTAATAAGGAAGCTGTAACAACGTCAATTCCCCCTGTGGAACAAATTAAGGATTTCTGATTCTGACACAGTAATGGAAAAATTGACAATAACAACACAACAACAATAACTATCTAAAAATCCACCAACACTAGAGGAGAGTCTGGTGCAGAGTGTAGGGCCATAACATCCATACCCATGCGTTCAAACCGACGACAACAGAACAATCTGGTCCAAGGTTTTGGAGCTACTGGCCAACACCGGGACTCCAACAGAGGACATTTGAGCCAAAACCAACTCTGATCAGCAACAGCTGCTGGCTGAACACACACCGTGAATGTACACACACACAACGACACGCTCGCACCAAAAATCTCATTTGTCATGGTGATGTGATGTGTGTGTGTGTGTGTTATGGTTGGCACTGGGTGGCTGGTGATGCCAGAGTGGAAACATCAACACATCGGGGGGGATTATATGGGTGTGGATAAATGGATTGATTGATTAATAAATGGATGAGAGCATGGAAGGAAAGGCAGAGAGAATCTGTAGCACTTCGTCACCAAGTCTTAGTGTGATCAAAATATTTTCTATTTCAAAAAGTTGGCATTTTATTCTCACTTCTACTTGGAAAAGTTGAACGCTCATGTCATGGAAATATATATTTATAGTGTGCGATGGAAAACTACTGGGAAAACAGAATGGGGAAGAATTTCCAGACGCTCTCTCCCCAACGAACATAATCGTATATTCAGCTGTCCCGACACTATTACATGCTCATTATGGATTTTGAATCATATTTGAGAATTAATGGCTTATTTTGACTTGCTCATAAGGGGCAGTAGGCTCGGTGCAAAAGCACATGGGTCACTGCATACTTTTAAATGTGTTGGGGAAATAATACATCTTTTTAAATCGGCAATTGACTGATTGATTCAAAACATGACTTAATTAAAGAGCCTAAAACACCTCCATTGGACTCCTTTGTTTACTTCCATGACATAGTGACATCAATATGTAACACTGTGCTTTTATTGGCTAGCACTCCAACACATTTCCAAGCGTTTGGCCAATCACAACAGAGAGGTAAGGTACGAATGAACCTGATAATGTGCATAATAGGGCCCCTTTAAACGTATTCTTGAAAGACACATGATAGGTGTTTATATGGATGATTTAAACCCTAAAATAGCTATTTAATTTTAATATCTGTTGCCTTAAGTATTTGTGCTTTTTAACTACGTCATAGGCACTATAGTTTCAAAACATTGTCTGATTACAGAAGGCTGTAAGTTATGCAGTGTTCTCAATTCCACTTTTCCTTGTGAACATTATACTGCTCAAAAATATACAGAGCTGTTTATTTTGTTACGATTATACATGGTAAAACATGTCCTTGCATTACCTCATGTAAGACAGCTGATTTGATTGGTACAGACAGCTGTTTATGTGGAATAAATATAAGAAGGCACAGTTAACCACTAGCCACCTGTTCGTCATGTAAAACGTGTGAAAGATTGGGTCGTGCCGGAGAATTCTTGCAGAGGAATTTTCTACTAAACAAGTCAACATCTCCAGCAGCCGTCTGAAATGATTTGAGCTGTGAATGCGTTGAGAAGATTCAGCTGTGAGTTGTACGAGACTGCTGGGAGTAACACGCTCTTTCTACTGACTTGTGAATGACGAGCTGTAGGGTGAGTGAATAAGTGGCTCATTTATAGTAACTACTGTTACCCCATAAAGTACACAGCATTGCCGTTATTACATTAAACTCAAATGATTATAAGGAATCGGTTGTGTTTGTTCTTGTGCTTCGATGTCTAGATTGGCGTTCTTGGCTGTGACGTCTAACAGTTCATTGCTTTTCTTTATTAAACGGACAAGTCGGACTACAGGGGTCCCTCAGGGCTCTGTTCTTGGTCCCCTCCTCTTCTCCCTGTACACAAACTCGCTCGGATCAGTCATTAGCCCGCATGGTTACGCTGACGACACCCAATTAATTCTGTCCTTTCCCCGCTCAGAGACCCAGGTCGTCGCACGCATCTCTGCTTGTCTAGCTGACATCTCTCAGTGGATGTCTACTCATCACCTCAAACTCAACCTTGACAAGACTGAGCTGCTCTTCCTTCCGGGAAAAGATTGTCCCACTCTTGACCTAACAATCAACATCGGCACCTCAGTTGTTTCCCCGACTCAGACTGCAAGGAATCTGGGTGTGACCCTAGATAACAACCTGTCCTTCACTGCAAACATCGCTGCTACAACCCGCTGCTGCAGATACACGCTTTACAACATCAGGAAGATACGTCCGCAGCTGACTCAGAAAGCGACTCAGGTTCTGGTCCAGGCTCTCGTCATCTCACGCCTAGACTACTGCAACTCCCTCCTGGCTGGTCTACCTGCATGTGCCATCCGACCTCTGCAGCTCATCCAGAATGAGATCTCGTCTGGTCTTCAACCTTCCTAAATGTTCCCACACCACTCCGCTCCTCCGCTCCCTTCACTGGCTTCCGGTAACTGCTAGAATCCACTTCAAGACACTGGTACTTGCTTACCATGCTGCGAATGGATCTGGCCCTTCGTACATCCAGGACATGGTTAAACCGTACACCCCAGCGCGTGCACTACGCTCTGCATCAGCCAAACGACTCGCTGCACCCTCGCTGCGAGGGGGACCCAAGTTCCCATCGGCGAAAACACGTGGGTTTGCTGTCCTGGCTCCAGGATGGTAGAATGAGCTCCCCATTGACATCAGGACGGCAGATAGCTTGCACATCTTCCGGCGCAAACTGAAAACCCATCTCTTTCGACTCCACTTCGAGCGATAGAACTATTAACGAAGCACTTTTATACTAATAAAGGACTGGCTTATCTAAAGCCAGTTGAGTAGCACTTGAAATGTTTGGCTCTATGAAACCTGATGTACTTATATGATTCTGTTTTCTTCAAGGTTGTGTCTTCCTGGTCGAATGTACTTATTGTAAGTCGCTTTGGATAAAAGCGTCAGCTAAATGCAATGTAATGTAATGTAAAGTCAAATCAAGCAATCTGATTGGTTCTTAGCCGTGATATAATGAGCGTATATCACGGGTAGAATTGTAGTTACTTTTCACAAGTCATGTATCCCTCCGCGTCTGAGAAAAGCTACAACCGTTACAACTGTTACATTACGTCCGTTACGAAACTAACTAACTAACAAAGCTTAAGATGGAAACATTTAAGGTTAACTTCGACCTCCGGGGGGGTCTTCTTACTATGGAGGAGTGGATTGAGCAGTGCCTATCTCCAGAAAAAAAAGCACCTAAACGACGACATGCAGAGCTACGTGAAGAGCAGGTAGACCAACTGGAAAAGTACCACCATTCAAAAGCTTTCTGATGCGGGTCTTGAAAGCAGAGAAATTATGACGTTAGTGGCCACAGGTCTGAAAGCTCTCTCCAGAGCTACTGGAAGCCCAATCTCGGGGACCGGAGAAAATGGAGCAATATTCTCACCACGCCAAGCAACAGCCGAGAACAACCTCAACCTATACAAGTGACCACGTAAGCCATGCTACTGATGCTGGACAGTTTTTCAGTGGGTGCACAATAAACGGCAACATACAAATAAATGTAAATAAATAGCCAAATAATCGATCAACGCTCTCCGTCTAATATGTTCGCTAGCTGTTAGTGTTGTTGCATAGCAACCACCTCGCACTATGTTTTGTGCAGAAGGCAACGGAGGGACTATTTTATTTTCAACATCATTATTTACTAATAAAAACTATTTAAATTAGAGTGTGTATTTTTGTTGGGGAAATATTTTACAAGGTCCATAACTTTGAACCAGTTTATCAGTTTAAACTGTCCTGACTGAGCACACGCACCTGTAACCTTGGCTGCTGTGCTCTCAGTGTTTTGTCTCCCTGTTCCTGCCTGTTGGCGTCAGCTGATAGAGGTGTTATGCTTCTATCTTGTTATGCACAATGTTGATTATTCTCTCAGAACTAGCTAAACACATGGGTCTGGGGTAGAGATCTTGAGAATTGGTTTGGCATCTCAACCTGTGTCAACTTGTGGCTCGTGACATGTCTTGTGAATTCTCCGGCCGAAGCTCCAAATAAACCGTCAGTGTTTGCCATCAAAGCACCAGCTCTCCATCGTGTCTCTCTGAGTCCTGACTCCTATTGCTTCAGAAGTTTCCCTCACAATACATAAGTTGTAGTTCTGACAATATACAACATGTATTGATTTATATGAGAGACATACCTCTGGGACCAGGTTGTCCGATGTCTCCTTTCTCTCCCTGGAAACCGTCGACTCCGACAGAGCCTTTAATTCCCCGGCTGCCCATCATCCCTTTTTCTCCGGTGAACCCTGAAACACAAACAAATACAAGCTTGAACTCAAAAAGTGATTACAAATCATTCAATAGGAAAAAACTCAAGCACAATATACTGCAATATTGTTCATGAGACTCTCCTCAATATGAGCTATGATACCATTCAAAGCACATTTACTATTCAAACGTAAAGCAAAGTCAATTGTATTCAATACTTGACATTAATAGGTTAAAGTTAAAATGTTAGTATTCTCAAAGCTGTTTTCGCTTCCTGGCAGTTTTAGAAAAAACGTATATATATACGGTTCCACTAAATAAACAATTTCACGTTATTTTTAATAAGCATTTGAGGAGGAATCTGTTCAAATCCATACATGAGATGTTTAGGTGCAAAATACAAATAAATCATTAAACGCAGGCTTTGTATTAACATTTTCTTTTTTTAAAACTTTTTCTTTTTGTATTATTATATAGTATATTTGAATATTGTCTGCTTATCTGTATTATTGTGTTGCATTGTTGGAGAAGCCTGTGACCTAAGATTTTCAACGACATACTTACTCGGTAGCTATGTTAGTTTGACAATAAAGAACCTTGAATTAAGAAGTGATTAAAGTTCACTTTGACTTGCGAAATCATTTCAGCCATATACCATATAGCAACTCGAAAAACAGGTAATAATATGAGGATTTCATGATACATTTACAAGAATCCTTAATGCTTCGTGTTCTTCTTCCTAGCCCTGGCATACACGAGGGGAGACATATAGATGTTAGAAGTCATTTTCACTTTGTTTTTTTACTTCTCTCTACGTTTCAAATCTATAATGCTTGAAGAATAGCGCTATCCTTAATTTTGTTCCATAAAAAACAGTTTTCTTGAAAAGTCCCACCCTGATGCACTCATTGAGGACTTTCCTTTACACTAAGCCCACTCAAACGTCTTAAAATTAATGTAGTAACGAGTTTTTGAATGCATCGTTAACGTATGAAGCGCGACCTTTGTCAATACCTCGATATGCTCCGATTACACTGTTGTGACCACACATAATCTCATTGAAACAATTACATTGAAGGCATTATGAACAAAGACACAAGACAACTGGATGATGGATGATGTTTCTCTGTCTGCTGTAAAGGTTCAATAATGCTGTCGTCATAAAAACTCCTCTGGGAAAATGCAATCAATCACATTTTGGAAGGAGTGCAGACATGTTCTGTGCGATCTGCAGGAAAGTCCAACGAAAGTCAAAAAGGATTTTCAGAGCCTGGACGTGATGACAGATTTGTTTGGCCTCGATGTAAATGGAGTAATAGAAGAACAAGCATGCACTGCTTTATAGACATATTATGTAACCCTGTTCATAACATGGTTTTTTATCATCCAAAAGACTGTCAGCTAAGAAATATCAACTTTCAAAACAGGTTTTTCTTTCAGGTTGGCACCGCCTCGGAGTTACACTGGTTTTCATGGACGTTTGTATCGTATTGAGTCTGGCTCTGATTTTCCTCATAGTCTTTTACATTGGGACACTTTTAAGGAAAATGGCTGTATGTATACGTTTCCACAGGTCTGTTTCAGATCCAAAATCAAGTCCATAATTCATGACCTGTAAAGACCTCAATTAGGAAGCAGTCAACTTGAATTCAACTGTATCCACTTGTGTATGTGCATGTGTATTCTTTCCCATATATAATGTTTACATTTCATCACATGTAATCTTGTTTTACAATAAATAAAATCACATCTGATCGTTTGAGTATCTCTCTGCTTGAAGGCTCTTCTCTGAGGGGTTTCTGCAAATCGTTTTTAACAGATATAAGTACAATTAATAATGTATGAACCCTACAGAGGTTGACTAAGTCATTATTCAAAGACCCCTTCACTACAGATAAAAGCTTGATGGACGTTGGGCACATTGTTCTGTTTTGGTCCTCGGGGAAGTTTCCATTCAATGTTATGTTTCCTCTCTATCTATTAAACAGGCTGTTTTCCTACGGTTAGAAATTATTTAATTCACTTTTTCCTGGAACTACACGAATGGTGGGGGTTTTCCTTCCAGCAGAAAGATAATGCTTCTTGGAAATGTAATGCAGGAGCTGCAGTTCATCGGCCTGGGAATGTGGGATGGATGATGACGGGAGGAGCGAGAGGAAGAGGTACCCCGCTGGAAGGGGTCCAAAAAACATCTGGATTTATATCGCAGTATCGTACAGTATTTATGATAAATAGTCATTTCAGTTTTCTTGGGTGCCAATTGTGTCTGGATGAAGGTTAATGTTGTGGTTTTTGGTGAAGACAAAGATGGATGACCCGTCCCATGCCCTGTCTGAAAATAAATCCCCATCCAAAGCTTGGGGGTGTTGTTTTCGTAAACGTATCTATATGACCTATGACCTATGAACGTAAAGGTAATAACACCAGCCAAAGTCTGTTTTGCGTAAAAAGGCAGCATTTCACCGCTCAAACGTGAAAAAAAGACATGTGACTCCAAAGACTTGGTGTTTACATAGTACATTTATGGGACAAGTTTATGACCTACAGCTTGTAAAACCATCCAAAATCACGAGGCACTATTAGACTTTTTACGTCTTTGGGCTCACATGAATTAAGAGACAATAGTTTGAACTCATAGAAATACCTGATCTTCCATTTCCTACATACATTACAAGTATGAAATACTTCAAAGTTGAATAACACAGCATTTCCAGGTTGAGGGTTTGTATTAAGTCGTTTGAATAGAAGTTGGAAGCAATATTGATTAAATGTATAAGAGCACGGAAACGAGAATCGAGACATTAAAGTGGCGTCAACTTCTCATCTAACTCTTTGCTTGAGAACACACACTGTACGTTGTTGCAAAATCTCTTCCTACAGTGATCCTTTCGTAGGTCTTATGCCATTGTTATTCTACTCAATAACATCTGAATGGTAGAGTTGTAGTACCCACCTCTCAATCCTGTCAGTCCAGGAGCCCCGGGGGGTCCTGCCTTCCCAGGATCTCCCTTATCTCCCTTTGGACCCGGAGGACCTGCAGAGAGAAGGGTCACAATTGATGAGATAAAGTATTGGTGATATTTTGCACTCAATGCAAATACCAATGCACACACTTTGTCGTTGATTGTAGATAGTTGTTAACCACACACAGTACACTATCTTGCAGTTATAGGATGATTAAATACTGAAGTTGAGATGAAAAAACTAAACTTTGTCAACTTAGATTGCTGATGTTTTATCATATATGTTTCATAGGAGAATCATGATTGTAGATTGTGAAAAACAACAACAAGTTGAAGAAAATATACTCAGTGACAGAGAAAATATACTTGATGCAAACACGTAATTCCTGCTTTACTACTTACAGCAGGGTATTCTCCAAAGAACAAGGATTTAGGAAAAGTCCGATTAAAGTTACAACAGTTTAACAGGTTTTTACAAAGTAGGATGCATATATTTTTATTTCATTCACTATAAATTGACATCAACATTGCCTCTATCTCACTGTACTTCCTGAAGAGAAATGGAAGCTCCACCAAGGGTGTGTCAGGACCTTTATTATTACAGTAAGTTGGAGCCCTTATTTTGAAAAGTGTTGCCAAAGTCAAGGAAGGCAGTAACCGTGTAGCTTATCACTTAAAAAGGGAACACATGGAACTGAGAGAGATACGAACAAATGAGCCTTATTTCTGCAGATAATGTTATCAGTTATATACTTATTGTAAGTCGCTTTGGATAAAAGCGTCAGCTAAATGCAATGTAATGTAATGTAATCAGTGTCAAGAAACCCGGGTATTTTCTTGTCTTTTATTATAGTTCACACACACACCAAACACACAGTGACATGGCGGCCAAAATGTAGGCCAAACTTGGTCTTACAACTGGTCCACGGGTTCAATCCATAACGTTTATTGTACTTGGAAAGAGAGAGAGAGAGAGAGAGAGAGAGAGAGAGAGAGAGAGAGAGAGACAGAGAGACAGAGAGACAGAGAGACAGAGAGACAGAGAGAGAGAGAGAGAGAGAGAGAGAGAGAGAGAGAGAGACCACAATGGGAACCACATGTTTAACAAGGTGGACTGCAATACAGCTTGTGGCAATGCTTAACAATTCAGAGCCTGTTATTGTCCAGCGGTTCTGATCCTTCAGAGCCGCTAATGTTCTTCATCTGAAGCTGCTGACTGACTTTGAGATACAGATTGAGCTTCTTCACAACTGGACACTGGTCACCACAGGTGAAAAGGTCACATTAAGAAGGAAGGCTGGGTGTCTACTGCCCCATCTGTGTATCGGTGTGTGTTGCTGTATTTCTATTCTTGTGAGGCCCACTAAAGACGAGAGTGAGGACTCTCAAGGAGTTCAGGTTAAGGTTAGCATTAGGTTGAACTGCAATGAAAAGTTGATCTATAGCAAAACAATTGAGATACACTTTTGAGTTTGTTGCCATTGTTTAGAATAAAATGCCAAACATTCCCTTCTTCCAGCTTCTTCGTTGCGTCTGCTTTTATAATTAAAATACCTTTAGGTTTTGTGGTGTTGGCTTGTGAAAGGCACTTTCTTCTGACATTGTATTTTTTGACCTGAGCTAACCTTTGGTCCTCAGTCTTAACATTGAGCCTCTGCACACTTTTGACTGGACTTCTTAGATCTATGGTCTTCAGCAGTCAACAATACAACAGATGTGGCAACAATCTAAACGCAACAAGGTGATACATATAAAAAGATCTTCATGCAAGTGTTTGTGTCTATTACTAGAACGTTTAGGAGTCAGGTTTTCTGGGTATTGGGTTTTTACTTTATTGGGCACACGAGTTAATTTAATAAGGGCTAGTTTGTGCATCCAATGTCCTTCAGGGGAATGTGATGCTTGCACAATGTTTTGTCCAATTAATGTAATAGATATTTCAATGGAGAACTGAAACCATGACCTGCTGTGGGAGCGAGTTGAATTGTCAGAGGTTCACAAAGGTCAGCAGGACCGTGAACTTCTGCACAACATTTCATGGCAATCCATTCAACACATGAGAATAAGATATGTTCAGGTCAGAAAAGGTCGAACACACATTTTGGGACCCAAGTAGACATGGTACGTCATCGTCCCACTGATTGAGATGTTGTAGTTCTCTAATTTATGTTAGTCTACTACTTACTTTGATCTACAACAAGCAGCTCTATGGTCACTCGTTGCCAAAAAGTTCCCCACCCTTTGGAGGCAACAGTTTTAAGTCAATTTATTGAACATGTCAGAAACAAAAACATACAACAATAATATATATATATATATTTTTTTTTTCCTTCTCACTCAAATTAATAATTATAACAAAGTACAACAAAAAAAAAACAATAATTCTCTTGTTAAAAAAATACTTTTCTGGTCCTACCCCCTCTAGCATATATTTTTCTTATAAATAAAATATTAGGTCATCGTCATCATGTTAATTTGTTTGCTTTTTGTTTTTTTACAAAACAATCAGAAAGAAATTACTTTTACAATTACAAGAAATAACAACAAATGGGATTTTACAGGTCCTGTTCATAACCATTAATGATTTGGCTCCTAAATAATACTTTCAGTTTAGATAGACTTGTACAATATTTCAGTGCATCGTTACAGTTATTCCACAGACTAACACCTTTTGATGAGATGCAATGAAGTTTGGCATTTGTTCGTACGGGTGGTTTTTTGAAAATGCAGTTTCCTCTCAACATGTACATGCTTTCTCTCCGTGTGAAAAGTCCCTGGATATTATGAGGTAATTGTTGATTTGCGGTCAGTTTTCTCCCTAGGAGGCTAAAATGTGGCTTGAAGGGTAAGTATTGGGCTGTGAATGTGTGTGTTGGTGTTCATGCCAATTGACGAAAAGGGATTTAGCAGCAACAGGGGAGTTAACGTACCACAACCCATCTCAAGAATTGTTTGTTGTAAACTCTTATAGGAGTAGCCAAAGATAAATACAACCCAAAATGTTTCTTTCAGCAGTGAGAGAAAGCTGAACACATCCACTCCAACCTTTACATAGATCAAATACTGTCTGGAAATCATCTACTTTTTAAAGATATATAAGTGTGTCTGTCTCGCTCAGCTTTGGTAAAGACAGTTCACCCTGGTGGTCCTGATGAACTTGCGTCCTTCAAAATAGTTTGTTTTAGCACAGCTTCACATTATTAATCTCTTGGCTTTCCGGGACCTATGTCTTCATTCAGCTGAGAGTGCTTCAACAATAACAAGCCCAGCGGCCCCTTCAGGAACATCTGACAGTGCTGAATCCAAGAGTACAACACTAGTGTCGAGTTCAGGCGCCTCCGTCCAACATTCAGTCAATCTAATATCGGGTGGAGCAACAGGGCAGTGAGTCTGTATTTTCGTATGTCAGATGTAGGGAAGATAAGGACGGGGGTTGTTGAAATACATCACCATGACGAAGGACGCAAGGCATTATCAAGGTTTAAGTTATTCGAGAATACAGTCAATTTAACAGAGAACAGATGGACAACACTGTGGTCATAAGGAGGCTAACCTGTTCAATGTATGTCCCTAATGTAAGAGGGCAGGGCTGTGTTTAAAAGTGATTTATCCTGAGGGGATTTAGAGCAGAGTGCTTTGGTTGGACAGATACTGTTACATTGAGACATTTACAGTATTGACCTGGATATAAGACAATATGTTTTATTTACCTATTGACCCTTAGAGACATTTTAAGTTATGATATTTCCTGAGGACAGTAAGATGTTGGAATCTAGACGTACTGAAAGTTGACACTATCTATGAAGGAAATCGTTGAAATGGATGACCTGCGCTTTCTATCTTTTTGTTAAAATGCATAAAATTGTAGCAAATGAAAATCAACAAATACATAAGACTTCAATGTGCCAGGCGCCATTGAGCTATAGCACCCTTAACGAGCAAAGCAAACACGACACTCAAAATGTACATTAATTGCCATCAGATGACACCGATGGCTGTAAATGTTTCCAGGCCTCGGCTTTGATCGGCTCACAATATATGACTAACTCAGCAAAAACTCACATCAGCAGTTTTCAGCAACAACAGATCTTCAATCCAAAATCTCTACGTGTCACTAAAACCCTTTGATGTCAAGATACGTATTTCAAGGAGACTTGTTTGGAGTTGTGTCATTTTCTGGCCAAACCTGGATAAATCACTGGGAATACGCTTGGGAGAAGAAAAATACATATTGTGTGTGTAGACACCTTTAGCATTTAGCATAGAGTTCTTACATTAAAATATGAAGTGTGACATTTTGCCTCTGGAAATCCAAAGGTTTACTGATAAGCCACAACATTGAGGATGACTTTGATCATGTGATTTATTATCCGTCAGTAAGCACAGGACTATCTACCACCTGCAGAAGTAAAAGTCTCCAGGCCAGATTTTAAAACAGCTTCTTATGTGTCTTTTGATAATACAACAAGTAACATGTGTGGCATGAGTCACAGAGGAATTAAATGCAAATAAACTGAATAAGAAGAAAAAAGAGGGGAAGAAGGAATGGTAAAAAGGAGAGGGGAACACAACAGAGAAAGAATAAACATGGATAGACATGTAAAACTTTTCTTGGCTAAGGTGACTGCCAGCTAACAACAAACAAATGGGCTGCTGAGATAAAACTAATGACAGAGCTGGTTTTTTTACCCTGGATGCTTCGTCTAAATTTAACCCACAATTGTTTCCAGGTTTGGGAGCAACGGCATCCCACCCACATGTGAAGCAGACGCACAATCAGGGGTCTTGTTCGGTTTTAGTTGCCATCAATCAACACGGGCTGAGTCCCCTGCCAGCATTACATCAGCATACCTATTCTGATTTTATTAAGCCAGGGGAGTCATTTGGTGCCCGGGCAGAGAGACTTGTACCATGTCGGGACTAATCAGACCCCAACAGATTGGAGGAAGAACATTCAGAGTTTCTCTACACCCCGGGTTACTAATCACACGGTGTTAAATCATGTTTTAGTGCTATGGTCGCTTTTATTCAATCACAATGCAAACATCTATTAGCTCAGGCCCGCTAGCACTATCTTTTTGAAAAACACATTTTCCATCCAAAGGAATTTCTAATAGTAACAGCCAGGTAAGGTTCATGATGCGTTCACATGTCTGTCATGTGTTACTCTTCTACTTAGCTGCACACTGAACTTCTGAAACGTGAAGGTGTCTTCATTGAACATTCGACTTTTGTTTGTCCTTCATGTTGATAGTTTTTGCCCATGCACAAGTTCTTTCTTGATCTGTCGCTGACATTTTTAAAAAAAGTTAGAATTTCGACATCTTGATGCCTTTTGACCTGCAGATCAGGAAATGAATGTTTATTCGACACGCACACAGCTAACCACAGGGGCACTTTGAGGGGGGGATTTAGACTGAGGTGTACTTGGACTTGTGACACATTTAGGCCATAAAGAAACACTGAATTGCCTCATTTGGGATCAAGCCAAGTGCTGGTTAAATAAACGTTATTCTTTTGCCCTCAGAACCACGATCTGAATCTTTTTTCTTGACTGACCTTCGAATATGGTGAAGTTCTTCAGAGCCAGGGAGTGCTCCCAGTCCTTCAGACGCAGGTCCTCTGTGATGGTGTTCAGGATCTCCATCTCGTTCCTCAGCTCGGCCTCCGTGTGGACGTGGGTCACCCAAAGGCTGCTGGTGTCCTCTGTGATGTTGCTGATCTGGATCTGAGCAGCAGGAGGAAGAGGGAGTGTTAACAGCTGCAGTCTTCATCAGTGTGCTGCAGTAAGGAGTAAAACTCAGCTTAAAAGTATTGTGTATTTCCTGTACTTTATCAATGATGACTTTGTGCTTCCAACAGTTATACAACATATGTTTTTCAGTTGTAGATTCATGCTGCATTTATGTCTTTTCATAGGGGAAACAAAGTTCCTGTTCCTTTGAATGCTCCAATTACAAGCCTGAATATCAACGTTGTAAAAAGTTTTCATAAATGTGGCAAATCACTGGACAAAAATACATGTTGGGTCAATGGTAATAACATTTAATTATGTCATTTTTGCATATCAATGCTAACATGTAATTTGCTATTTGGTATCAGGTTTTAATCGTATGTTGAGCTACATTAGTTAAAAAAAGTTTTTAAAATGGCATTAACTCTGTATATCAAGCTGTATATTAGGGATTTAGATAATGTAGTGATGTTGCAACAAGTCTAGGACAAAATCACTAATATAAAACATCAAACTATTTCAGTATACTTGGATGACAACTTGAATAATCACTGTTTAAAAGTTCTTAGTCATAATCCTTGTATGATGTAGATCCTCGTATCTCCATATTGTTTCCACATAACCACGTAAAGCTCAAGAACACACAAATGTTCTTAAAATCCAAGGAGCATGTGAATGCAACATCAATGTGTAGGACTGTTTTGTGTACGTTGCGATTAACCTGTAAGTCTTGTATCTTCAGGTGATGAATACTGATGTCATTGCTGAAGGTGTGATTGACAGCTCCCACCGTCCAGTTGACCTCGTCCAGTTTCTCTCTCAGCCAGCTCACCTGACCTGAGGCTTCCCTGAAGGAGAAGAGAAACAGATATTATTTAATTCTACAGCCCTCATTGTGATGCAGTTACACTTTCATCTTTCGGAAATGAGCATCTTCACTGTAATATAAAGCTGTACCCAGAGATGGCAAAAGTACACACATCCTTTACTCAAGTAGAAGTACAGATACTCGTGTTTAAAAATACTCTGGTAAAAGTAGAAGTACTGACTAAACTTCTTTACTCAAGTAAAAGTAAAGAGGCTTTGAAATGTACTTAAATAAAAAGTACCCATAACTAGCAGCTGTTTTAAAGAGTACCTGACCTCCCTTTATATCAATAGAACAATAATGTCATTGTTAGCTAATGAATGTTTCCATGCTGAACAACGGCAACATGACAACATTTCCATTGGTCCCTCTTCTTTAGAGAAGACCAGGAAATGATGGATACACGGATCGTGTTCAAATCAATAGGCACGCAATGACTCTAAAGAATAATGATCACGCATCAAACACACATTCAGACTAAAGGAACCAGCTGTTTGGGAAATGAGAGAAGTAGAAAGTACAGGTATTTGTGTTCAACATGTAAGAAGTAGAAAGTACAGGTATTTGTGTTCAACATGTAAGAAGTAGAAAGTACAGGTATTTGTGTTCAACATGTAAGAAGTAGAAAGTACAGGTATTTGTGTTCAACATGTAAGAAGTAGAAAGTACAGGTATTTGAGTTCAACATGTAAGAAGTAGAAAGTACAGGTATTTGAGTTCAACATGTAAGAAGTAGAAAGTACAGGTATTTGAGTTCAACATGTAAGAAGTAGAAAGTACAGGTATTTGTGTTCAACATGTAAGAAGTAGAAAGTACAGGTATTTGTGTTCAACATGTAAGAAGTAGAAAGTACAGGTATTTGGGTTCAACATGTAAGAAGTAGAAAGTACAGGTATTTGTGTTCAACATGTAAGAAGTAGAAAGTACAGGTATTTGGGTTCAACATATAAGAAGTAGAAAGTACAAGTATTTGTGTTCAACATGTAAGAAGTAGAAAGTACAGGTATTTGTGTTCAACATGTAAGAAGTAGAAAGTACAGGTATTTGGGTTCAACATGTAAGAAGTAGAAAGTACAGGTATTTGGGTTCAACATGTAAGAAGTAGAAAGTACAGGTATTTGAGTTCAACATGTAAGAAGTAGAAAGTACAGGTATTTGGGTTCAACATGTAAGAAGTAGAAAGTACAGGTATTTGGGTTCAACATGTAAAAAGTAGAAAGTACAGGTATTTGTGTTCAAAATGTAAGAAGTAGAAAGTACAGGTATTTGTGTTCAACATGTAAGAAGTAGAAAGTACAGGTATTAGTGTTCAACATGTAAGAAGTAGAAAGTACAGGTATTTGTGTTCAACATGTAAGAAGTAGAAAGTACAGGTATTAGTGTTCAACATGTAAGAAGTAGAAAGTAAAAAGTTGTCAGAAAAATATGTAGTGGAGTAAAGTACTGATACCATAAAAATGTACTTAAGTACAGTAACGAAGTATTTGTACTCCACTACTTCCCACCTCGGGCTGTACCTGAACAAGAGGTCCTGGTCGTGGAGCCAGGTGGAGGCTCGGGTCACCTCCACACTGAGGCTCGTCAGGTTCCTCCCGGTGGAGCTGCTCAGGGAGGACAACCTGTCGTCCAGCTGCACCAGGTAGCCCTCCGACTGAAGGGAGTTAGACTGGAGGTTCCTCAGCTCCACCTCCAGGCCCTGTGGTGAAAGGGATTCAGAAATAGTCATTCATCATAAATATCAATTAGAAATGTGATGGTGTATGAGGTCCATTGGAAAAAAACATACACAGTCATGGGAGGGGGTAATGCCAAAACACTTTTATTTTTCTCCAATAATATGTGCACAATCTCTGAGATTAAAGTGGTACATTTATGAAAACAAATATAATAATTCTGAGATTATTTAATCGTAAATTCAAGAAAAAATCCTGTTGTGTACTACAATTGCTCTAAAACAATGTATATAAGCAACATTGTTGGAGCCAATTTGCTTTGGGTTGTGCACGGGGTTTGTCTATGTGTGTGTGAACGCGTCATCATCCAATCTGCGCACCTGGGAGCACAGGAGGTAATTAAGCTATATATGTGGGCACAGGTGATCAGCTGGGATGAGAGGTTAGAGAGGAAGCCACACGTTTTTCAACCGTGTTGACCATGATTGTTTGTGTCTGAGTGTGTGCGTGATGTTTTAATTTTAGATAGGCCTACGTGAGTCGTAAAAGAACATTAAACCTTGGAGAAAGAAATAAAGCATTACAAATTACGTCATGGTGGACCTCATCCTTCACCACAACACGCGTTGGGAACTCTGACTGCTAACCTCCATGAGTGGCCTTTTTTGATGAGCGATCGCCACTACAAACACGATTAACTTAAAAGTACAATAGAGCATAAATGATTGGAGAGCAGTGATGTGCGGTGACGTTCATGGCTGGTGAGGCTCTTTCAGAGTCAGATTTACAAATATTATATTTTGACCTTAATCGAAATGTTTCTGTTATTTTCAAAAGCTTTTTTAGTCTGATGCTTCGATTCATTTTAAACAGATTGTTCAACAAAAGGATACCCCAAATCTAAATATTGGATTGTTCTTTCTTAGTAAGATCCCATGTTCATTTTACAATTGTGGTCTTACCTTGACTTGAAGATGAAGTCCATGCTATCCTTCTGGACAACAATCTCTATTACATTTTTGTAAAAGTCCTCCTTATCTCCCTCTAGTTTCAAAACAAAAGTCTAGTTTGTTGTTTGCGTCTACCTCTGTGTAGAATAACAGTAGCAACAAGAACCTGTGGGCTCACTTGCGCCCCCTTCAGTGCGGCAGAGGTTGTGGCTGCCTCTCCAGGTGCTTTTTTCATTGCCGTTGTACGATGAGACCAGCGGGCCTAAATATCATATACACATGAACAGGGCCGCCCCTGGCCAACTTGGGGCCCCAAACGACATTGTGAGATGAGGCCCCCCCCAACCGACAGGAGTGAAACACATTTTTTTGGAAACAAAGTAGGCTACTTATATAAATATAATTCCTGTTTATTATTAGTATCAACACAGTTACTTTTGTATACAGTGAGGTAAATGGTAAATGTGCATGTACGTCTGCATTTCCTGCCAAATACTAGCCTCAAAAAGATTAAAATATAATGAATGCAAATAAACTACTTCTACTAATAATAATAATCATAATCAATTCAATAATATAAATACTATATTATTTTATTATAATTTAGTTGTAATATAATCAAGACAAAACATGCTTATGACATGCTCAAAAACTGATATTTCTTAAATCTGTATTCTAGTTCTCTCTGTCAGCAATGTATCAACAACTACACACACATTTCTATCAGTATTTCTCTGTTGTGGTTGACATGATGATGACTGTTAGGAGTTAAGGGGAGAGGCTGAGCATCACCATGAAATGTGCAAATAGACATAAAAATGAATAAAAGGGGAAAAAATGCTCCATGTTTTTTAGGCTGTAAACTTTAACTGTTATGTAAGCCAACTAGACAGGCAGTGTATCACTCTTCCTCCTGTACATTTGCAGATAAAAGGCATAACATACTTGAATGAATGTTAAATAAAGAATGCTGGAAATAACTGCATCTCCATTAGCCTGTATGCTCTGCAGAGACTGCCTTCTTCATGTCGTGAATTGCAGCTGTTGTTTTAATATGGCAATTGGCAATTTGACTTATACAACATTCGCAAGTTGTACATTTAACTCATACAATAACCCACCTTCGAGTGATGCTCTAGTTTCTTCATGTTTTGTTTTTGTCCCCTCTTCCTTGTGCCGGACTGAAACGGTCTTTTCACCGACATCTCTTCACCTGCACTAGTGGCCGTATCAAAGCCGTGATTGGTCAGATGTCAATTCATCGCAACGGTGTCGGGTTACAGACGTGCTCCCCTTCTCACCTCTCACTCTCGCGTGTCAGCCGGGGGTGCGCGGAGAACTGAGCGGAGAACTGCGCACAGCAGCTGAGGCCCTCTGGGCGGGGCCCCCTGCGCAAGGCGGGGCCCCATGCAGCCTGCGTGATTGGCCTGTAGGGAGGGGCGGCCCTGTACGTGAAATAAGTTATTTAGAGACTATGGATGGCGAGGATAAATGTAATAAAGGGATCTACAAACATTACATTGGTGACATACAGTGAGATGGTAACAGGCATGCGCTTAGCTTTCCAGCCAGTTTCTGTGGGGTGACGCATTCTGAGGTGAGGCAGAGCCAGGGCCGCCCCTCCCTACAGGCCAATCACGCAGGCTGCATGGTTTCAGTCCGGCACAAGGAAGAGGGGAAAAAAACAAAACATGAAGAAACTAGAGCATCACTCGAAGGTGGGTTATTGTATGAGTCAAATGTACAACTTGCGAATGTTGTATAAGTCAAATTGCCAATTGTCATATTAAAACATCAGCTGCAATTCACGACATGAAGAAGGCAGTCTCTGCAGAGCATACAGGCTAATGGAGATGCAGTTATTTCCAGCATTCTTTATTTAACATTGATTCAAGTATGTTATGCCTTTTATCTGCAAATGTACAGGAGGAAGAGAGATACACTGTCTGTCTAGTTGGCTTACATAACAGTTAAAGTTTACAGCATAAAAAACATGGAGCATTTTTTCCCCTTTTATTCATTTTTATGTCTATTTGCACATTTCATGGTGATGCTCAGCCTCTCCCCTTAACTGCTAACAGTCATCATCATGTCAACCACAACACAGAGAAATACTGAGAGAAATGTGTGTGTAGTTGTTGATACATTGCTGACAGAGGGAACTAGAATACAGATTTAAGAAATATCAGTTTTTGAGCATGTCATAAGCATGTTTTGTCTTGACTATATTACAACTAAATTATAATAAAATAATATAGTATTTATATTATTGAATTGATTATGATTATTATTATTAGTAGAAGTAGTTTATTTGCATTCATTATATTTTAATCTTTTTGAGGCTATTTGGCAGGAAATGCAGACGTACATGCACATTTACCATTTACCTCACTGTATACAAAAGTAACTGTGTTGATACTAATAATAAACAGGAATTATATTTATATAAGTAGCCTACTTTGTTTCCAAAAAAATGTGTTTCACTCCTGTCGGATGGGGGGGGCCTCATCTCACAATGTCGCTTGGGGCCCCAAGTTGGCCAGGGGCGGCCCTGGGCAGAGCTCATCTGTGCCTCACGTACAGTAAGCCCACAGTAACTGGCTTGAGCGCGCTCACAAAATAAGTGCCCGCGCTACATTAGTGCCCGTGCTCCAGACAGTTATTGTGGGCTTACGTGAGGCAGAGCTCGTCCCTGCCTCACTCCTCTTCGCTCCCATGTAGTTGTAGCGGAGCTCGGCCAATTTGCTGATTTTGACTATAAAAAGCGATTGGAATCGAACAGAAATCACACTTACAACACAGATCAGTGGAGACATTTTATTATTATTACTATTTAGTTTTTCTTTAGTTGTTTTTCCGTCGCTGTTGGAGAGGAATAATGAAAAGCACATCGCTTTAAAGTAAAAAGTGCATTTAGGACCTTAAAACTCTATTACATACTGTCATTGAATATCTTGTCATCTATTAATTTCCTGTAACAGTTCCCAGGTCTTGAACCCTGCTCTGTGAAATCTCTTGTTTTGCTTCTTTTTTCAGTCTTGTGACCTACCTTGATGAGGATCTCCAGCCTCTGCAGCCAGTCGCTGTGGTTCTGGAAGAGGTTCTCCAGTTTCCAGATGTTCTCCAGCAGGTCGGCCTGGGTGGACGGCTCGCCCAGAGTCTGCTGCAGCCGCTGAGAGCGCTCCGACATCCGGGTCACGTTCTCCATCAGAACCTGCTGGTGCTGAGAGGAAACCTGGGAACGAGAGACTGGGGAGGGGGGGAGAAAGGGAAGAGAGGGTGAGAGATGTGTTGATTGACTGATCCCCAGAGGTGGGAAGTAGTGGAGTACAAATACTTTGTTACTGTACTTAAGTACATCTTTCTGGTATCAGTACTTTACTCCACTACTTATTTTTCTTACGACTTTTTACTTTTACTTAACATTTTGAACCCAAATACCTGTACTTTCTACTTCTTACATGTTGAACCCAAATACCTGTACTTTCTACTTCTTACATGTTGAACCCAAATACCTGTACTTTCTACTTCTTACATGTTGAACACAAATACCTGTACTTTCTACTTCTTACATGTTGAACACAAATACCTGTACTTTCTACTTCTTACATGTTGAACACAAATACCTGTACTTTCTACTTCTTACATGTTGAACTCAAATACCTGTACTTTCTACTTCTTACATGTTGAACTCAAATACCTGTACTTTCTACTTCTCTCATTTTCCAAACAGCTGGTTCCTTTAGTCTGAATGTGTGTTTGGTGACGTGATCATTATTCTTTAGAGTCATTGCGTGCCTATTGATTTGAACACGATCCGTGTATCCATCATTTCCTGGTCTTCTCTAAAGAAGAGGGACCAATGGAAACGTTGTCATGTTGCCGTTGTTCAGCATGGAAACATTCATTAGCTAACAATGACATTATTGTTCTATTAATATAAAGGGAGGTCAGGTACTCTTTAAAACAGCTGCTAGTTATGGGTACTTTTTACTTAAGTACATTTCAAAGCCTCTTTACTTTTACTTGAGTAAAGAAGTTGAGTCAGTACTTCTACTTTTACCAGAGTATTTATAAACACGAGTATCTGTACTTCTACTTGAGTAAAGGATGTGTGTACTTTTGCCAACTCTGGAGATTTGTTGATTCACTGATCCCTGAGTCCCCAAATCAAGTATCATTAACTATCAATCACTGCTGTCAGCTGGACCGAACCAGAACCTCTAATGCAGGGCAGATGTCGATCTGCACTAATTTCTGTTGTTTATCTTTTCTAAATGTATTGTTTTGTTAAATGATTACCTAAATATTTTTACGACTTCAAAACCATTTTCCATGGCTGGCTCACTTTGAGGTTTTCTGTGTTTTACTGAGAACATATTGTGGACATTCTGTCTTCACTTTGGCTGATATTTAAATTGGCCCCTGCATGTTGCTGTTCGTCCAATACCTGCAGCAGAGAGCCTGCTATATTAAAGATATGACGTATGGACTCCCACAGATGGAAAGTAACTACTGTAAGTGCTTTTCACTGGAGAACTGTATCTCAGAGCGATTAGAGGTACTTTTTATACAGGTTTATGCATACTCTCAGATATTGTACTTTTTACTCCACTACATTTATTTGACAACTTTTCTTACTGTATGGTTTAAACTTCATATAAAAATACAACGTATGATCAGCTTGTAAAATGCAACACAGTGTTAAAGATGAAACATTTTCCTAAATATTAACAAGTTATGATTAAAGTATAAAGCACTTATATACTAATAAAGGACTGGCTTATCTAAAGCCAGTTGAGTAGCACTTGAAATGTTTGGCTCTATGAAACCTGATGTACTTATATGATTCTGTTTTCTTCAAGGTTGTGTCTTCCTAGTCGAATGTACTTATTGTAAGTCGCTTTGGATAAAAGCGTCAGCTAAATGCAATGTAAGGTAATGTATAAAACAAATAAATACACATTTTCTTCTTTTCTACCCTATCACTAATTTCACGATCCTATTTGAACCTTTTGAAAAGGGCCTAACCCACATATTGAGAACCCTTCAACTAAACAATCTTATTTTGTGTCTAAAAATAGTTCCACCTTGCTAGAAATGTAAAAGAAAACTACTTAACTTAACTACAAATTATTATCAGTACTCATCAATATTGGTCATGACATGAGGCAATTTACTGCAGAAGAATACTTTTACTTTTGACAATACTGAGAGTTTTTAATGTTTTTTTTGTGGTTTTTGCAAAAGAATAGGATCTCAGTACTTATTCCACAAGTAGGGACTCCCAGCATGTTGTCATTTGTCTTAAATCTCTTTATTAAATGACAAAAACATTTATTTTGGTTGTGTTTCTAACAATGAGATCATCTATAGTTTGCTTTATGCTAATGTAACCTTAAAAACCATAAAAAAACCAACATGTTTTCATGTAAGAGTTCGTGGGAAAACAAGTTCTGATCCAGTTTAACACATTACTAATGTTCTACTTAATCCTAAGTACATTATCGAGAAGGATTTTGGGATGGCAAAGTCGTAAACACACAAATCCGAAAAACCAAAGATAAAATCGGAAAAGGAAAACATGTTTGTGGAGAGCTTTGGGTCACAAGATCTGAGTCACACACGTTTATTTAGCTGCTCACATTTGAAGACATATTACTGATGCAACTTTCTTGTCTTGTTTTTGGCGTTGGCACAAAGGCCACTTCTCCTTTTCTCTGTTCTCCACCGTGCCCAATGAGAAAAAGCTCCTCGGTTTCATGTTATGTTGAGAGCAAGTTGCATGGTAACGACTCGATAGCCCGGGTGATATTTTGAAACCAGACCCTCAACATTACGGCATGACGACATCCTCTCAGCAGGACAGACGGGACCAATGTGTGCAAAAAATACCTCTGATGGAGAAAATAGGGAATAACTCTGGAAACGTGAGGAAGCAGATAATTCCCTTCACACATGCTCTTCAACACTTTGATGGCCCTCACAGCGTGATATCACAAAACCTTTGAATGTTTACGTTTCCACACACGTAGGAAAGTGATATAAGTGTGTGTGTGGTTTTATGCCTTGACATCATGACCAAGGAACGCCTGCATGACCTCAGAGAAAGGAAAGTGCTGCAAAGCCACACTGATGCAAACAAACCATCTCAATTCCAGCTCATTATGCGTGTTAGGGTTATTTCTAATGACCAGAAGAACGAAATAAGCTGAAACCTCTCCACTACACAGGGAGCTTAAATGCTAAATGATGGTCTGTTTCCAGAAGAACACACACACACATTTAAGGTCAACCAGAACATGATGCCAGAGTGGAGCTTCCCAGCAGTACTGGTGCTTAAAAAAGATAAAACAAATAAAAGCAGAGACCATTTAGTGGGCTAATCTTGTTCTAGATAACCAGTGCTTTTTCCCCTGAACATCCATCCATCCACCTTCTCCCGCTTATCCGTGGTCGGGTCGTGGGGGTAGCAGTTCCAGCTGTACGGTTGATAATAATGTATCTATTTTGTGGAAGTTAAAGGGGCCCTGTTATGCTTTTAGGGGTTTCCCTTTCATGAAGTGTGGTATACCGGTTTTTGTGCATGTAAATGGTATGAAAAGGCTGAAATCCCCTCCAGAGGAAGTTTCTCTGTTACAGATGGAGCTGCTGCACGGAGCTTAGTGTTAATGCAATCCATGCATGGTTTCCAAATGTTCTGAAGTTGCTCAGGGGAAGCACAGTGTGGGTTTGGAGCAGAATCTATTTTCTTAACCACACGCTGTTTGAGGACGGTGGGTTCTCACAGTTCGGAACAAGTATGTGCCATTAGAGTGAAGACATATAAACGTATCATCATATCTTGTTGCCAGAACACGTTTGAACAGATTTCCCACCGCGCGCTTCCATTAGTTTCCTCTACACCGCCTAAATGAACAATCAATCAGCATTAGACATCACTCTCCACTAATTGATTTCTGTTGAACTGCAGCTCTGTTAACAAGGAGAGCTGTGCGTTACAATCAACCAAACCACAGAGGTCACTGTCAGGCAACCAACATGTTTAAGGCTTCACACTAACAGGCCTAAAGCATTAATAGAGAGTCGTTTTGGCCACTAGGGGGCAGCAAAGAAAAACACAACTGACATATTATCACTTTGTCAAGTTGCCAGGGCTAACATACAAAGCATTTATCATATAATTTATTCTGCTAAAGTTAAAGGTCACCTATCATGCTATTTTTAGGCAATAGCATAGGTCCCAGATATATAAAAAAATATAAAAAACATGTCTATGAAGTGTTTTGCTCCAAATACCAAACATATCACCCATGCCTCATATCCCTCTATTTCACTTCCTGTTTCAAAAGTGCTGATTTGGGGTATAAAGCTTAAAAAAATAAAAAATGAGGGGTCTAGCTTATGCGGGACCCGGCAGCTACTGTCTAAACTAAATACTGCCGTGATGAAACGCCATATCATGGATTATCAAGGATTATCTCTGAAACAGTTTGGAGCTCAAAGGCTTTCTCTCTTGCTGGTTATACCACAAGGTGAGTTCCTTTTAATTTCCTGCTTCTTCACACACATGCTCTCTCCAGTACAGGTTAGCTCTGAGTGTTAGCGATGCTAATGTAAACACAGACCATATTACGTCCAAAACAGTCGGGCATTGTTTCTGATAGCAACGTTTCTGATTGGGCCGTGGGTCCACATTTCAGATATTACGTCATATCAGACGCAAATCTGGATCAGCTCCGTTGTTCCCCGTTTTTAGAGATTTGGGTACGGAGGAAAAGAGAGAGGGTTTTATTTTCTGACGCTGTGTGAGTTCCCTGACACACCGGGGACACATATTTATGTATAAAAGACATCAAAAAGTGCATTTTGCATAATAGGTCCCCTTTAAGTTCTTCACCTATTGTTTAAATTAACAGAATAGACATTTACTGGATATATTTGTTTAGAGAGACAGGCAAACTATGCTTTATTCAAATTGCAATGGGTTTAAACATATTGATTTATCCAGAATATCTGCTGGATTTCACTTTCAATAATGTAGTTAAAACTCAAGCACTTGAAGAGCTCAGACCTCTACAAGACAAAAAGGCCCAATCTTGCAAATGAACAATAAATGCGTGTATAAGCTCTGTTGATCAGATCAGCTCCAAGATGAAATGTTTTCTTCTTTGGCCGTTGCTTCACCCTTCTACTAACTTTCATGAAAATTGGACCTATAGTTTTTTCATAATCCTGCAGACAAGAAC